CCCCCCCTCCCTCCCTCTCTCCAAAGCTCTGGCAACTAAGTCTTTGGAAAGTACAGCAGAAATGTCAGGTTGAAAAGTGTCCAGTTTAATCTTTTGCGATTTTCTCTAATTGCAAAATGATTGCACATTGTATCTTCTCCATGACATGTGACTTCTCTGGTTCCCTTCCATCTCCTCCCTCCCTTCCCCCCCCCCCCCCCACCCCCCCCCCTTTGCCCGGCCGGAAAAGACCCGGTGGTTGGTGTACGTGTGTGTCTCGGTGTGGACTGTGCGGTGTATTGGTCTTTTGTGCTGCCTGGTGCCTGTCACACTTTGGAGCAGTGGCAGACAGCACATTTTTGTTCCTCTGGTCTCTTTTCTACAGCTTACACCGGCCTGGTTGGAAACCGGATTCCGTGGGTTTGTTTGGTGGTGGGGTTCCCCCCCCCACTGTGTTTTGATCTTTTTGCCCTTTACCTTTTCTAATGAAGATGGGAGTATTGCTTCTTTGCAGGAATGATGAGGAATGTGTATTTCATCTTCCCTTAAGGAAATTAAGGCTCATGGGGGGGGGGGGGGAGAGAGAGAGAGAGAGAGAGAGAGAGAGAGAGAGAGAGAGAGAGAGAGAGAAAATGAGAATATGAGAGAATGAGAGAGACGTGATCCCAGGCACTCTCCTTGCTGGACCCATTTGCATGTTTCCAGGATTCATCTTTCTATGTAGTTGCTTTTTTTTTTTTTTAAATGAGGTGCCTCATCATATGTTTACTTAAAAGTGTAAAGAGAAGTGCTAAGTCTGAGCCTCAAATTATTTCCCATCCTGGACAAAGGTTAAGCCTTCTTTGCGGTTCTTATGCCTAGCTTTTTTTTTTGGTGGGGTGTTTCTAAATGTCTAATAATTCACCCTAGACCTTCCAGGTAATAATATGCTTTTTGACCTAGACGATATTGAAACTTCTTGGTTCTTAGCAGTGACATAATGTATGAAAGTTTTCATAAAATCTTAGCCATTCTGTATTTCCCCACTTATTCCTATGCTCATCATACCTTCTCCCATTCTAACTATATGTTTATGTAATAGACCTGCTCTGGTGTAGATATAATTTCTGTTATCTCCTCGGAAAACACAAGATCAAGGAACTCACTTTCACGAAGGTTTTTAGTGTTTTCTCCTTCCTCAAATCACTTTGTATTTACTTCTCTTTGTGCATGTAGAATGTAAGCCCTTCAAGGGTAAGGAAGTGTCCTCTTTCTCTCCCTAGAACTTGGCACTTTGTAGGTGTTTGACTAGTGTTTCATTTGAATTGAATTAAATATGTCTGATGGTTTTGCTTAAATTTGGATTGTGATAGCTTTTGTACACAGTGATAGAAATGGACTAAACCTTTGTTTTTGAAAAAGGGCAGAAGGGGAAAAACACGAACAGAAAAGAAAACAGCTAGACATTAAATGACAAACTAAGCATTTTCTTGTTTAAAAAAAAAATCTGGCATGACTTGTTATTATAATTACACACTGTGGGCTACCGTCAGAACATTTATCTCTTGGATTGTAACCTGGCCTCATGGAGTGAAAGTGATTTTTTTTTTCAGTAAGAAGTAATATTTACACCAGAATCATTGTGCTTGATATTCAATGAACATGTGGGCTTCATTAAAAATATTTTGCTAATTTCAGGACTGTAGTTATTTCAACAGCATGTTTTGTAAACTTGAACAGTTTGTGAGTTTCTTAAAGTAAATATGTTCAGGAAAGGTCAATATACAAACCTTCATAACATAACCATGATTCGAAGTTGTTTAGGAAATACTACATAGTATTTTGCTTCTGAAGGTAAATGAAGGTGGGATAGCTATGAAATCCAAATAGGCATTTGAAAATTGTAACTGATTTCAAACTGCTATTGTGAGGGAGCTCTGGTTCATAGCCTTGGGGTTTGTTTGTCTTTCTAGGTTAAAAAACTGGTCTAATACCTAGGAATTTGCTTTGGTAAAAATGTGAATTATTTTTTAAAACCGTAATTCCCAAGGACATGATTTGGGGAGTGTGAGGTTTTCAGCTTCAGGAATTTTTGGTTGATTTTTATTTTGGAGATTCAACAAAGCACCCCTTTTCTGCATTTAAATCTAATTAAGACTGTTCTAAAAAGTACTTTCTCTTTTTGGAAATTAGCTTCACTGGGGAAAGGCAATCAGCTTTTTCCATACTTTTTTTCTAATCAAGAATTTCAAAAACATAGTCAGAAACAATTCATTTTATTCTCACATTTGGAAAGGAGATGCAATGTATTAAGTATTTGTTTACATGTAAAATTGGCAGAATGGCCAGAGGAGTTCACACCCTTTGGCAATTTGAGATTTTGATAACATAATGTGTCTTCCAACTAGCACATTTTTCATCTTCATTAGGAAAGTATATTTTTAAAATGTCAACATTTGTCCGAAAAATTTTTAAGGTATGTTTAGCTTCTGCCTTCTGATACTAATTTCTTTTTGTTTTCTCTATCTTTGCCTAGATCAGTGTGTGAAAGTTTCTGTCAAATGAAATAACATATGGACAGTGATTTTACAAATATTAAATTCAAATTGTGGGCTGCTCTCATACCATGACCCTGTAGATATGCTCTGCAGACATTTATATGAGAATATTTTTACTTTTAAAAATATATTTAATATTTTATTTTTTTCTGATTACATGTAAAAATAATTTTTAACATTTTGTTTTTTAAAATGTTGAATTCCAAATTCTGTGTGCGAATATTTATTGAGAAGATAACAAATGAAGACAGCTTGTTGAAACAAATATAAAAGGAGGCCCGGAAGGTAGTGGAGGTAGTGGAAATTTGGAATTGGAGGACGTAGGTTCAAATCCTGCCCCTACTATTACCTATATGACCTTAGAAAGTCACTAACCCTCGCCAGTCCTAAGTTTCCTCATTTGTAAAATGAGGAGGTTGCACTGGATATGGCAAGTGCTTTGCCATACCTTAAAGAACTATGTAAATGTTATTGTTGTTATTTCTGTTACACTGCATTAGAAACCAAACTTCAGGTATAGTTGGTGCAGCTGAAGTGGCTTCAGCAAAAAATCTCAGGAAGAATTTTATTCAGTCGAGGATTTCCCTGTTTATGACATGCTACACACAGCTTCTGTCATAAGTGGTACAAAATAGTCTTGTATCACATTGCTAAAAACACAGTCAGCAATAGTTATTGCCACATCCTACACAAGATGTACACTCACATACACACTGATGTGCTCTTATATACACACATCTGGTTAATTTTAAAGGAAGGAAATAAGTTCAAGAAAATCAATGTGAAATCTAAGCTTATGATTAAAGTAAAGTAAAAAAAATTGGAAAAAAAATCAAGAAATACAGTAGCTGTGTTAGAGCTAGACATGAAACATACCGATATAAAATTTCAGTATTCTATTAAGTGACTTTAGTGCTCATAAAAGATGTCACAGCTAGGGAGACTGATGTTCTCCATTCATGGAATAGGTACAGAGACAGTGAGATTTCCCTTCTAGTGGCTTTCAGAGCTGTCTTACAGGGCCTACTTCTCTAAAAAGGATTTTCTAGTGATTCATCAGTTCTTTCCTCTTCAATAGGGAGTACTCAGCCTCTGGGAGTGCTGGGGGGGGGGTTGTCTTTAGATAGAAATACTGGGATTTGAACATGGATTCCTCTTGATTCCAAGTCCGCTGCTCATTGTGCTATACTGTACTCCTCTAGGTATAAACTACCCTCTAGTTATGAGAACTGCTCCCTTAATTCCTCTTAGATGCCGTGTCTTGTCTTGAGTGTATCTTTTTTCTCCCTTCTTCTTGGATTGATTGGTAGGGGATTGATGGTGAATAAAGAAAACCAGCCTCAGAACTTAAAAAGATCTAATTTTAAGTTTGGCCTCAGACACCTACTGGCTGTATGAATCCAGGCAGATCTCTTCATCTCAGTGCTCTAGGCGGTTCCTGAATAAGTTGTAGAGAAGATGTCAACCTCCATGGCTCCAAGGAGGTTCCCCATCAGTGATTTAGTTACCTTGCCCAGTGAAACCACTGGCCTAATCCTTATTGTCATACTGCTCAATGCCACAAGATTTTAGATGTATGTGTGTTCTTTTCTACCATAAGGAAAAGCTAATTCACTTATTTTGGGACTTCAACACAGCATTTAAGATGTCCACTGAAGGGCAAAGAGTTGACGACAGCCCAAGTACTAGCGGAGGCAGTTCTGATGGAGACCAGCGTGAAGGGGTGCAGCAGGAACAGGAAAGAGAGCAAGTGCAACCCAAGAAAAAGGAAGGCAAGATCTCTAGCAAGACTGCTGCGAAATTGTCAACCAGTGCAAAAAGGTACCATGTTTGTTGTCACTTACGTCTGGGAGCTGGAACAGGCGAATGGCCGGTTGGGTTGAATTTAAGCATTCTGTGTAGAGATCATTCATTCTGAGCATGGACTCAGTGACTGACTATATGGGCCATCCTTAGAGACTGTATTAAACCCAAAGCTTAAAGGGTTTTTAAAAAATGAGTGTGAGAGACTGTTTTTCCACCTACCAAATGATGTTTGGTGGATTCAACATCAGTTGGAGTTTGGTAAACTCATGCATATTCACAGTGGTGTGTCCTAAGCCCAACAGTGTTGAAACCTGTCAGTTTGATTTATAATGACCCAACCATAAATATTTCCTACTATTCAGTAACACAGCATGGTAGAAAGTAGGAAACAGTTGCACCATCTATCAAATGGACTGTCATTTCCTACTTCCTGTTGGTCAAGCCAGAAATGCCAAAAGGATGCATCTTGGTTTCACTGCACTAGGCTGTGGGTCATTCTTAATACTGTATTCTTCCTCCCCTGGAGGAAATATAGCCCCAGACGATATGTATTTAAATGATCTTATTCTGCCACATCAATCACTCAGTGGCAATTGGCATATGTTTAGGCTCAGCATTCAGAAGGAATCACCTTTAATATTGTTCTCCCACCAGTATCAATCAGTATAGCTTTATAGAAACTAGTTCTCAGAAAAATACATGAAAAGTAAATGACTAAGTCTATCTTGACCTCATTGTTATTTTATTTTCATATTTTAGGTTATCTGGAATATTGAGAGAATTCAAATTATTAAACTTATAAGTGAAATGCAATTTTTTATTTTATTTTTTGCCTTGTTCAAATATGTGGAATGTCCTCCTCTTTATTAGCTGTATACAAGAGGGATACATTTTGCATTCTTAACAAGTGGTGTGTTTCATGGAATAAAGTCCAGAAAAGACATTTGACCATAGTCCCCTCCCCCCATATACATACCTACCCTGTCCCTACCCTCTACCCTGGCAACCTGCTCAAACCTTTAAGAAGAGAGTCATATTAGGGTACAAGAAAATCTCTTGATTTTCTGGAACAGGAAATCTTTCTGACAGCAAGATAAGTTTTACATTCTTGCAGCCTTAGTTTGGAAGTGATCTTCCAAGTGGTCTGTGGGTTACTTACCCATGAAAATACATTTCTTTTTTAATAGTGAATTTTTAAAGAAAGGATATTGATTCAGTGATTTCCTCCACAAGCCTAGCTTTTATCACCCCTTTATTTTGATGGTGAATTGTTTTTTTGTTTTTTTTTTCTCATTCCTTTGATTGTAAGTAGGATTGAATAGGATAGGTATTCCATCGGATCTGTCCAATTCTAAGCACTGAAAAAGTTTAAGAAACGCTGCTCTAGAGTTTTGTGCCCTTGAGAGTGAATTTCTTTTGACTAGCTCTAGTCTTAGGAAAAGTCCAGTGCTAAGTAAGCCGTTAGGAAGCCTTATCTTGAAAACTGGAAAACTTTTCAACACTAGTGGTGATGATTTTCTTTGATCAAATTTATGTCTTTTCTGCTTCCTGCGGACAAAATTTCTGAAGTGACAATAATTGCCATCAGTTGGGATACTTGAGTCTACAGTGATAGTCTTTATATGTGTGTAAAGTATAAATTTTAAGGCGAGTTGTAGTATAATCATCCCTAGAAACTTGATACTATTGATTAGCTAGAGATACTCTGAGATACCGGATTCCACTCTCTCTGATAACAAGGTGAGAGCAATGACTTGTACACAGGTCTAAGTTCCACAAAGAAGGGGAATGTTTTGGTTCTTTCTAGCCCCAGCATCTAGTGTTTTGAGCCTTCCCCAAGATGTGAGAAAGAATTTCTGATAGATTAAATAGATAATTCCGTAAATACTTGAATGAATGAGCAGCACGCCCAGTTGTTTGAGATGTGCTATCACAGTGCCAGAGTGAGCGTATTTGAATGTGTTAAAACTTTTCTGGCAAATCTCAATTTTCAGAGGAATCACTGTGAAAAAATGTTTGAGGATGATGCTTGATACCAAGATTATATAAATGGAACTATTTTATCTTAATGCTAGTATAAATCAGTCATCTTTTTCAGAGTTAGATAGAAAGGAAGATTATATTTCTGTTTTTATCATGCTTTTTTTTTCTCTTCATTGCAAAAACACGGTTTCTCCTCGAAGTATTTGGCACGAAGTTTCACATTCTGCTCTCTTGATGTGGCTCTGTCACTCTTTTATTTGCAAAGAGCTAGGAAGAGAGATGTGATTTGAAACTTCCACTTCTCCTTTTCCAATTGGTTCTATCATTTTGCCTGAACTGGTTAGTCAGCTCAGTCAGCTGCTTTGCATTTTTCCACTAAATTGACTGCGCTGACTGGTGGTGTGGAGCTATAGACACAACTGTAACATGAAGTGATATGATTTGTATTTCCAGAAAAAAAAAATCTCCTTTTAAGATGGAAAGGAATCACTACTCACTGGCATCATCTTCATTTTAATTTAATACTTGAATTGGGGATCAAGTCACATGAAGTTTTGGAAGGTGTCTGAGTGTAAACTTTTCCAGATTGAATTTTGTTCCAGGCAGAGGGGCATTTTTTCAGAAATCCAATTACGTACGGTGCTAGAAATGTTTTCTTTCTGATGCTGTTTTAGAATTAATTCCCATGTGAAATGGCATTCCCCTCTCCCCATTGATTATGAGCTACTTAATAGTTATCAATTTGACAGTCACACAGTAATGTTCACAGAGGGAAATTCTATAGTATTTGGCATTCTCTCAAGTCTGAGGTAGGTTCTAGATTTGTGTTATAATTTAATGGGGTGCTGGCATGGCAGGTGAGGGGTGTGTGTTTTTGCGATACAGTCACTCCCTATCGTGAGATGAGGGGCAAGAAGAGAGGCCGCTTGGGGATGTTGTAGTGGGAATTCTCAGCCTCATGCTCTTGGGACTGAGATGGCCTCTGAGCTCTCTGCCAGCTCAGAGGTGCTCTGTTGTGAAGGAATTTGTAGACTAAGAATAATATCTAATGTGGCATTTCCAGACTTTTGGAACACTTCCCATCTCTTATCTCATTAAAGTCTCACAGTGATCCTGTGAGGGAGGCAGCTGCTATTATTATCCCCATTTTAAAGATGAGGAAACTGGGAGGAGGCTGTTAAACAACTTGTTTGGGGTTGCACAGCTGGCATCTGAGGCCAGCTTCTCATCCAGATTTTTCTGACTCCAAGTCTGGTATTCTATCCACTATGACGCCTCGCTGTCATGCCTACGTTCATACATACATACATGCATTTGTACAGGTTGTCCCAAAAGTCTCAGTGTGCTGGAAAGCTTGCACTAAGACTCATGGAGCACCGTGTCTAGAGCTTAAAGGTTTGCAAAGCACTTAGTGAGATGGAGATGATGGCATCATCCGTGGTGGGAAGAACTCCTCAGAGTGCAGTCCTGGCCAGCACCCTGAGAAGGCATCATCCTTTGTAGGAAAACACATGTTGATACTCACCCAATTTTCCTAGCTTGAAGATGTTTGATTATTCCTTAAATAAGACTGTGGGAGTGGCTTTTTTGAGCCTTCTGGTCCTGCTGACCTGGGCTTGAGACCTGATCAAATTTTGATGAGAAAACAGATGATTTGAGAGTTTCTGTACTGGTGTGGAGTCTCTTCTCTCTCTGAAATTTTGTCTGCTTGGGCATCCATCTTTCACTGCTATATGCTTCTGAGTGGATACTGTCTTCAGGAAATTCCATTCACACACAGAACCTAAGTGATGAGGTTCAAAGTAACCACAGTACAAGAGAACCAGCTTGGCACGCTGAACAGAGGGGCTGGACGTGGAGCCAGGAAGATTTAGGTTCAAATTCAGACTCAGAAATTCATTAGCTGTGTGACCCCAGACAAATCACTTAGCCTCTCTGACCCTCAGTTTCCTCCTGTAAAATGGACACACTAATAGCCCCTACTAAGTACTTCAGTTGCAAGATCATTCATGTAAAGTGCTCACAAACCTGAAAACAGCTTCAAAGTGAGAACCATTATTGAAATTTAGCCCCTAATTGGGCCCAGATGTGCAGTTGTGTGCTGGTTACTCACTTCTAGGGAAAGGAAGGTGAGAATTAGGCAACGGTCCGCTCCTGGATTTGTAGACTGCCTGAAGATCTTATTAGGGGGTTGGTCAGAACAGAGACCCAGGGCACTCATTCTGATTGGTCAGGTGAGGAGTAGATGCCCTCCAAACCATCCGCCTTGAGCACTGCTCCTTTGTTATTTTCCTAGTGCCTCACAAAGCAGAGGGGAAGGGGCTTTCTCTCCTATACCCCCCCCCCAGCAGGGGCAATGAGGAGTTGCTTCAGGAGAGCATGGAAGGAAGTGTAGCTCAGCCTAAATCCCCCCTTCTGCAAGACGCCTTTCTTGCTGCGCCCCCTTAATGCTGGTGCCTTCTCTCAGGATTATCTCCAATTTGTGACTGTTATTCAGTCATCTCAGTCGTGTCTGACTTTTGTGACCCCATTTAGGGTTTTCTTGGCAGAGATGCTGGAGTGGTTTGCCATTTCCTTCTCCAGCTCATTTTATAGATAAGGAAACTGAGGCAAACAAGGTTAAGTGACTCATCCAGGGTCACACAGTTAGTAAGTATCCGAGGCCAGATTTGAATTCAGGAAGATGAGTCTTCCTGTCTCCAGGGCCAGTGCTCTATCCAATGCCCCATCTCGCCGCCCCAATTTATCCCCTCTGTATTTGGTTTGTGCACAGTGGTTGGCAGGCTGTCCTTCCCCTCATCCCCACCCCCCACCCTCAGCTTCTTGAGATCAGGCCCTGTCTTTTGTTCTTCATATTCTCAGCCCGTAGCACAGAGGCTGGCACATAGTAGGTGCTTCATACATATTTGTTGACTAGATGAAGGGAACTCTGTGGACTCCTGTTGTGGGAATTCCCTTCACTGAAGCAGCTGCAGATAGGCTTTGACTTAGCAGTTAAGTCCTGGAGAGTTACCTTAAGCACATTAAAATTC